AGAGACAGAGCGAGCTTTCCACTGATAATGCAAGTTTGATCCAACTTTGACTAGCTTTGATCTGTATAGATCTAAAAATAGAATAAAACAGAGCCCAAACCTGCATTATCGTAACGCAGTGTTGTATTTTTATCTCCTGGTGTGTGTGTGCTTTTGTCTAATTCCATCACTTTCTCAACCCTCATCCCATCTTTGCTGAATCTGCTTTATAACCTCACCCATACCTCCCTCCACTCTGTACGTGGGGATGTTCGTACGTGGGGGCTGTTATTCATCTTTCCCCCAGCCTGAACACTCCAGGGTCCCGCACCTCCACCGCCTCAGCGGCCGCGGTGCTCGCCGCCTCATCCCGCACCCGCCACCACAAGTCCTTGTCCACCTCCGCCCACCCCAGCCCCCCAGACCTCCATGCACATCGCCCCAGGCAAGTGGCAGCCAAACTCCAAACTATTCCGAAGGGGGATTCGACATCAAGACCTAGTGACGAGTAAAGTCGTATGATTTCTTTTTTTTTTCTTTTTTTTTGAGTTTTGGAATACATGAGATCCGCAGACTGAATTCGTCAAGCAAAGAGATGGGAAGCCCCTGAACATTTTTATTAAACCCTGTCTACTTTTCTCTCACTCGTTGTCCACAATAATAAAACCGTCTCACTCGCCATCCCACTTTCCCCTCCATCTAAACACACGTTGTCCACGTCACATACTTGCCAGCTCATTCCTTTCTAACCCATAATTCACATGCATGCTTTAACTAGATGTCTGTCTTTTCATGCAAGATCCTCCTTCACTTATGCATGTAATGCATGTATTATTGTCGCATTGCTTGGTGTCTTTAGGTCTGCTGGCCCATCCTTCTCCACCCCTTCTTTTCTGCAGATAAACTAGACAGTGCACTAATATCCTCTAAAACCTGTCTCACTGCATGTTCCATTTTGGAACGGTCACAGACAGTTGTATGCATGCTAAAAGGGTTTTGTTTTCCTCCGTAAAGAGTTTTTTGTTGTTGTTTGAGTTTTGTTATTTGTTGGTAATAGCTGCATAACTCTTAAGGGTGATGTGTGTAATTTTTTTTTCTGTGTTAAAATACTTGTTCCCAGTTTAATGTGGATAGACTAAGTTGAGCATTTGTAGATTTTCCTTGAAAATTTTAAATACCGTTGTACTCTGAACACATGGGATTTATTGATATAAAAATTCTGTTCAATACCGATAAGAACTATCATTGAATACCTTTGAAAAATACAGTAGAACAGTAATATTGTGAATATTATTACAATTTAAAATAACTGTTTTCTGTTTTAATATTTTAAAATGTAATTTATTCTTGTGTTGGCAAAGCTGAATTTTCAGCATCATTACTCCAGTCTTCAGTATCACATGATCCTTCAGAAATCATTCTAATATGCTGATTTGCTACTCAAGAAAACTTATCACAGTTGAAAACAAATGTTTTTGTAGAATTCTTTTTTTATTGTAATTGTAATTCAAGATTATTTGAATACAAAGTTCAAAAGAGCAGCAACGTTTTGAAATGGAAATCTTTTAAAACATCATAAATGTCTTTAGTCACTTTTGATAAATTAATGCATAAATAAGTTTTTATTAATTAAAAAATATATATTATTGACCCCAAACTTTAATCTGTTGTGATGTATGATGCTACAAGTACATTTTTTAATCACAGCATTGTAACACTATGAAAAAGGTATTCATTTGAAATTTTCTGAAGATTACATTTAACTGTTATTAAATTCTAATTGTTTACTTTAAGTTAAAGTTAAACTTTAAGGGAGCATTGGATTACTATATAATCTAAATGTAAAAATAGGTCAAATGTACTGCAGTTAAATATATTGTATTGGCTGATATTGTGTATAATATTGACCAATATATGATATAGTGATGCAGAGGTTACACACTTTACCTTTAACTATTACCTATTGTATGGTTTTGTAAAATAAAAAACCCCAATGTGGTACTCGTGTGATTTAAGCCTTTGGATTGTCACATGTCTGGACATGGTAGAGAAAGGGCTGATGGTGGAATTATACTTTGCTTTCACACGCATGTGCATGCTTGGATTTTATTCCATCACATTTTAAAATCAATCTCAAATTAGATGTTGGTTCATTTCCACAAGGATAATTTGTCTGTCATCAGTGCATTGGCAGCAAGAGCTACAGTTGTTCGCATAATGAAATGGCCTGTTCGTTCTTTTAGTGCCTGATTATTGAAGCTGCATGTTGAAAACAAGTGGCTTAAATTTACTGTTAACCTTAACGTGTTTTAATGGATGCTAAAATGGAGTTGAATAAAGTATTAACCGATTCTCTTTTCACCTTTGCAAACTTCTTTGTAAAAAAAACAGCACAGCCAACCAGAGAGCACCAGTTGTGTCCCCCTCAGCTCAGAACATTTCCTCAATGGCTGACCGTACCAACTTCCCCAGAGGGGTGACTAGCAGAAGCACTTTCCACGCTGGCCAGCAAAGAGCCACACGAGACCAGCAAGCCTCAGCGTACAACGACCCCTCTGCCTCCCCCTCCCTTTCCCATGGCAACAGCCAGGTGCGCCGTCCCGGGACGGGTATCTTCAGCAAGTTTACTTCCAAATTTGTACGCAGGTGAGTTTATGATCGGTCCACATGACGACACTGTTACTTGCAATTGCGAAATATTGAGTTGAGTAATACACATGCACACATTCTCATTACTCTCACCAGTGCTCCCCTCTTTCAGGACGAAATGGTTTGGACTGGCACTGTTTTTTATCGCTATGATCATGAACTCTGAAACAAAGGGCTGCTGGAGCAGAGATGGTTTTAAGTGTGAGAGATGCTAACTGATGGTTAACTAACATTAAATCCAGGGTTCCCACAGTCAGGGAATACCTAGAAATATCAGGGAGTGATTTCCATGCCTAGAAAAGTCATGGAGATTCACTACATCTTATTCTGTTTTTGTAGTTATGCTAATTTAATCGCTTAAACAATCTATAATTTAAAAAAAAAATCTTTATCCGGTAATCAGAAATGATTTGGAAAGTCCTCGAAATACATTGGCCAAAATGTGTGGGAACCCTGCAAACCTGACCCTGATCTAACATCCATCATTCATGCAATGCATTTACAATTCACAGTTTCTTCAGCGATCCTAAATGGACCTGTTGAAACTTAATAAATTGCAATTCCCATTCTTTAATCTGACTTTAAACACCGGTGCCCTTTTTAGTGCCCCCCAGCTAACACTAAAGCTCAGAAGAACCTTTCATTGGTTTCATAAAGAAGTCTTTTTAAAAACTTTTCATCTATCAGCCAAACAGGAAGTATTTAATTGAGCTTTTTCAATGGTTCATGCACATGTGAGAAACACTTTATTTTCCCTTTTTTCTCTAATTTTTTTTGTAGAAATCTCTCATTCAGATTTCCCCGAAGGTAGGCAATAACACTACCCTTGTGTTTTAAGACGATGTCTTTTTCCTGTGCTCTATATTCCTTCTGTGATGTCTTGTCAACATTTATTATTGTTCCATATGCATATCTTTTCATATTATATTTTTTACTAATGCTCTGCGTTCATTGCCTGACTCACTCCTCCGCCAGCCCTCTTTTCTTCCTCGTCTTACCTCGGTGAATAACACATCCCTCTTTTATTTGCATTACATCCCGTTCCTCTCTCATATGAACTCATGGAGTCCGGTCATGTACCATTGTTCCGCAGATCTTGTGAATGGTCTTCCTGTGCCCTTGTCTGTACTGTCATCATGCAACATGGCTACACTCCTACAATGCAGTTAAATGACAGTGTGATACGCTCTCCAAGTTTGCCAGGTGTTTGTAGATTTTCTGATTAGACCATTGGACGAGGACTGAACTTGATAAAACCCTTAACTAAATGATTTTGATGCTCAGCTCAGTTAATGGTTCTTGCACATCTACTTAAAATACTCAAATGTACAGCTACATCTACAGTGCCTAGGTAAAACAAATTGTAAGCTTGCAGTCTAAATTTAATGTGATGAAAGAGAAAGACAGGGTGCTGCTATAAATAGACAAAACACATCTTTCTATTGCAATGTCCACAACAAACATACAGCGTGACATTTGTAGTCTGATTTATGAACAAATGACTCATGGACTGATCCATTTGAATGAATATGTCAAATACTGATGCATTAAAATAGACTCGGGTGTTCTTGACTTAGTGAAAAGCAAGTTGTTTTGTCGTGTTCAACTCAAAATGAACAGAGAACTGTTATTTAAATGGGTTGCTTGAACTCTAGCTTGCTCACCCTCATGTCGTACTGAAGTTCATCTTCAAAACACAAATGAAGATATTTTTAATGAAGCTTGACAGATTTCAATTGAGCAATTTAGTCCAAATCTTCTAAAGAGACACGTTTGTGTTATATGATGAACTGATTTAATTTAGACTTTTATTCATATATTGATCATTGACATTGTTCAATACGCGTACATGGAGAATGAGTATGGTAAAGGGAAGCTCAAATGTGCTTGCTGCACAAGAACAGACCCTGTCGCTTCTTCAGAAGCTCAAATATGCTTGACTTTCGAGAACAAACCTCATTGGTTCTTGTGCGTTAAGCAAATACTTTTGAGCTTTACCATATTTTATGTGCATTGATCAGTGTTTAAATATGAATAAAAGCCTAAATCAAATCTCTTCATATAAAATAGTCTTGATTAAGACGTGCATTTAAACCGTTTGATTTACATGGATTAGTTTTTACGTTCACTTTATGAACCTTAAGTTTTGGTTGCATGGACTTTCAGTGGACATTCTCAGGTTTAGTAAAAAATATCTTCTTTGGTGTTTTAAAGATTCTTGTGTGTTTGGAAGAACTTGAGGGCGAGTAGATTACTTATTTTTGGGTGAACTATCCTTTTAAGTGTTGTGAGATTTGAATCAGTGTAGTATCTGAATTGTTTAAATCAAAAAGTGTTTCAAAAACCTAGTGTCGTTATAAATGGTTCCTTCATAAAGACACAATATGTACGATTTTTGGATTAAAATATCCCAAAACCACTAGAACAATGTTATGTATTTTGACTTGTGTACGTACTTTATCCCAAATGTTTCCAACAATGTTGAAATCCAAAGAAATCAGCAATTTTAACCAGTTTAACGGCCCGTGTCATTGCGTCGCCTGTCAATGACGTCATATCCGTGTTACCCTCGATTTCCGGTTTTACTTCCATAGAAACCATGGAAACACCAAAGACGCTTTAATATATTGTGTTTTACTAGAGCACCTGTTTGGATAACACTACTATGTCAAGTGGCTAACATGGCGTAATCAGAAAAAGCTTTATTTGTAGTAACAGTAATACAGCATTTTCTCTGCCATGCAATATCTTTTAAAATGAACTGCATACCATTTAGCAACTCAAGTCATCCAGCTTTTAATTAATATTATATTTTAATATCGATCTGGCTTACTGCAGTGTCTCATACCAGCCACCAAGCTAATGCAGAGAGTAACGTTAACAACTTTCAACACATTCAAATGTATTTTAGTATGATAGTTTTGACCACGTAAAACAGCGCTGCGTTACCCCACAATTTTAATTCGTCAAATAAAGTGACCTGTATGAATAGTAATTCAGCACTTACAGCTGTTTTAGTAGAATGAAATAAAATGATGTGAATTTTAGTGATTACACGTAACAGTAACAAAGTTCAAGTTCAGGGAAGAAGTGAAAATTAAACCACAAAGCAAAAGGAGCGACAATGGCATATTAGCACGATAAAAAAACAGCGAAGTAAAATGTCCCAGGCTCTCAGCCCTGCCCGGCTTCATACCACTGTAACGTTAATAAAACTTTAATACATACATCAGTCCTCCTATGAACATGATTTCTGCCCGAGTTATGTCGGATTGCTTTCCATCGGCTGTGGAGGTGAGGATGACAACTCCCATGATTCCACGCTCATTCATGACGTCATCAAGCTATGGCTTTGTTGTTGTTTTGAAAAAGCGACCTCTAGCGGAGAAACTTACATACTGTGTCTTTAATAATACTTTTATTATTGTATTAATAAAGTGTTGTTGTTAAAGGTATAATGCGATTATTACAATGCTTAGGTAAGTGGACCAAGAATTGTTCAATTCCTTTTTCTTATCCATTTTGTAGACCCCTCAGACAGATGTGAAATATTAGAAGTACTAGGCACCAAATTCTTTTTGATTTATATTCTGTTGATGGGAACTAAACACTCACCCAAAGCTTGACATTTGATTTTGAATAGGTTGGGTAAGTTCATGGTTTGCAGAGACCCTGGTAGGGTAAATGGAGGATGACAGTCGTGTTTTCATGGTGAGGGTTGTATAGGGTGACTCCTGCTTCTCTCCTCTTACGGTCTACTGCTTATTCTTATATGGCTGCACTAAAACAGACGTGCTGCTTTTGTCCCTTCGTTCTCGTGCTGTGCTGTTTTGGAGGTGGCTGGTCTCCCCGTCCGACTTTATCTTTCAACACACACCTCCCTAAAGTCACTTGTTCAGCTGTACGAAATGCACACGAGTAGACAAAATTATTGGGCTATGATTTACATAAAATGTTAGCCACAGATACTAATTTTTACAGCTCATTTTTGACAGACAAGCTTGGGATTTAAGTTTAGGAGGACTCCTGGTAGTTTTGCACTAGGCACTACTCTGAATCTTGCAGATGGGTTTTAATAAACATTTTTCATTCCTTTGGGTTTTCTTTTAAATGATGCTCTTGCATAACCAGACTGCAGAATGTACACAAAGGAAATCCGAACTTGCACTTTTTTGTTTTTGTTTTGACCGTTTATGTCACATCAGATATTCTGTCCATTTTGAATATGGATATGTATATCCTTATGTTAGTCTACTAGCTCTTGTCTGCTCATTTGTGCACTTTTATGCTGAGTACAGAGTGGCTTATGCGAGTGTGTGTTGATCCTCCTAAGGTTCAGAGTTTAAAAGGAAAATTTTGTCCAGAAGTTGGTGAAGGGACTGTAAAAAGATTCTTTATGGCTTTTGCTAAAAAAAATTGTCATTTTACTGATTGAAACAGGATATTGATGATGATAAGTTATTGATAATGAAATCTACATAAACAGGACTAATACTTAGCTAGCACCAATAAGAACTTGAATTGAGGGACTAAACTTGTTGGTTTTCTTTGAGGAGTCCGTATGAGGGAGAGGGTCGAGATGAGGCCAGCAGGTGAGGACAACTAATAAAAATCTCCAAAAGTGTACTGCTCAAATCACTGAATCATTACTTAAAGGAGAACTCCGGCGCCAAATGAACCTTTGGTCTAATTACACATTGTTACCTAGTCAACCGTTATCTGAGATTTGTTTTCATGATTATCGAATGTAAATAGTTTTATCTCTACAAACAGTTTAGCCTATAAAGCTAGTATAACGCTAGTATATTGGGCATAGTGGAATGACAAATAAAAATCGCTTGTTAATACCACTAACAAGGCTCAAAATAGCCCCACACTAACACGGTAGCATAATGAGGGTCCCTACCTTCAAACCGAAGCATTGAGAACTTTGTCAGTGTCCAGACAGTTTAATAAGAAGATATTTTAAACATACAGTCAACTTCGCGTATACAGGCAGAAGCCATCTTTGAAATACAGCCTTTACCAGTCGATCTACGAACGCCGATCCAAGCCTGCTGTTCGCGCTCACCTTATCACAACTTATAGCTCGTTCACATCTCACCAGCGCACTTGGATCGGCGTTCGTAGATCGACTGGTAAAGGCTGTATTTCAAAGATGGATTCTGCCTGTATACGCGAAGTTGACTGTATGTTTAAAATATCTTCTTATTAAACTGTCTGGACACTGACAAAGTTCTCAATGCTTCGGTTTGAAGGTAGGGACCCTCATTATGCTACCGTGTTAGTGTGGGTCTATTTTCAGCCTTGTTAGTGGTATTAACAAGCGATTTTTATTTGTCATTACTAGGGATGGGAATTGATAAGAATTTAACGATTACGATTCCATTATCGATATTGCTTATCGATTCGATTCCTTATCGATTCTCTTATCGATTCTCATTGGGTGAGGGAATAAGTACAAATTTGTTTGTTTGTATTAACTTATTGAACTTATAACTTATTTGTTTGTTAATTATTATTAACTCGCTGACAGCACAGCGTATTAGGGGTGTGAACCTACACTGGTCTCACGGTTCGGTTTCGATTACAATCATCATGTCATCGATTCAGTTCAATTCGATATCTTGATGCATTACATGCACTGCATCCTCAATTTTACTTCAAAAGTGATGTGTGCCTGCGCATGTTCACCTGTTCGTGAAGTCGCAGTGACAGAAACAGTGACATTCCAGTTTAAGTTTCATGGGACTAAAGTCTGTTCATGATGTGTGGCCAAATGTTTCTGCATATTGGAGGTCCCCCCCTTTGACGAAATGGAAATTTTACAGGTGTTGCAACAAGTGACCATATTGTTATGAGGCGCCGTCATACTCTCATTGAGTATGTGCGCGAGTTTGAGTTTGTGTGTGCTCGCGTCTCATATGAGTATGTGCGTGGAGAGTTTCGCGCATCTGTGTGTGTAGAGTTTGCGTGTATGCGTGAGCGACTTTAGGTGTGTCGTTGTGCATTTCATATGTATTTGTTTGAGCATTCAGCAGTATACATGTATGTTTGACTACTTAGTATACGTTTATGCAAGTGTTTCATATGTGTGGTGAATGAAGTTTGATTTAAGCCCTAGACGGCACCTCACATATTGTCGTCTTTTCGCATGAAATATAACCAAACGAGCGCTTCTGCCTCGATGCCATGTTTGTTGCGTTCTGAATCAATATAACGCAGCGCGTGTGTGACGTCATGACACATTTGCAACGTGCGGAACCTATAAGCGGAATCGTTAAGCAGGCATACTAACGGTTCCAAGGAATTGGTTCACTGGGAACCGGTTCTGAAGAAGAACCGGTTCTCGATTCCCATCCCTAGTCATTACACTATGCCCAATATACTAGCGTTATACTAGCTTTATAGGCTAAACTGTTTTTAGAGATAAAACTATTTACATTCGATAATCATGAAAACAAATCTCAGAGAACTGTTGACTAGGTAACAATGTGTAATTAGACCAAAGGTTCATTTTGCGCCGGAGTTCTCCTTTAATGAGTTAACGGAGTTAAAAAAAAAAGAATGTTTCATGTTCCGTGGAGTCATTTAAAGATTAAAATGTTTTGTTCTTTTTTTTAATAATTGGATGACTTGCAACTTATAACAATCAAATGTACACCACTGTTAAAAAGTTTAGAGTCGGTACGATTTTTTTTTTAATGCTTTTGAAAATCTAATTCTCACCAAGGCTGCATTTGTTTGATCAAAAACAGTGAAACGGTAACATTATGAAATGTTTTAACAATTTAAAACAATAAAATGCTTTCTATTTTAATGTATTTTAAAATGTAATTTATTCCTGTGATGGCAAAACTGAAGACTAGAGTAATGGCTGCTCTAAATTCAGTGTCACATGATCCTTCAGAAATCATTCAATATGCTGATTTGCTGCTCAAGAAACATTTATCAATGTTGAAAGCAGTTGTGCTGCTTAATAGTTTTGTGGAAACCGTGATTTTGTTTTTAAGAATTCTTTGGTGAATAGAAAGTTCAAAAGAACGGTGTTTATTTTAAGTAGAAATCTTTTCTAAAATTATTAATGTCTTTGTCAGCTTTGAACAATTTAATGTATCCTTGCTGGATAAAAGTATAAAAATCTTACCGACACCAAACTTTTACTAGTGCATTTCTTTTATACACAAACAAGAATTCACGCATTTGAAAATAGGTCTACACTTCTACCCATGTAGTGTTTTATTATATTTACATAAGTTTTTTTCTTTTTACTCCCTCAAGCACCTTACAGATGTCCGATTAGTTAGCGGATGACTTTATTTTGACTGCATTGTAGTCTTTCACCATGGGACCATGTTGGTGTTTTGTGTTGATTTTATAAAAACATTTCATCATGTTGATTTAAAAATTGTAATGTGTTGAAGCAGAAGATCTATTATGTAGATGTTACAGCTCGAATCAACCAAGCTTTTTCTGTCTGTTATCATTTGCATTTCCTTGTCTTCCTCGTGTTCACCTTCATTTTCCTGTTTGTGCCTCTCTCCTCTCATCGTTCTCAACAAAGACCCATGTTGAGCCCAGCAGACAAGATGGAGAAAGGTACCCAGGGACTGCCCGGTGACGAAAACAAGGACTCCTTTTCTTCCTCTTCTCCTGCGTCCAGCACACCCTCGTCCTCCAAGGACACCAAGCCACGCTCCCTTCGCTTCACCTGGAGCATGAAGACCACCTCCTCCATGGAGCCCAACGAAATGATGAAGGAGATCCGGAAAGTTCTGGACTCCAACAGCTGCGAGTACGAGTTGCGCGAGCGCTTCATGCTCCTCTGCGTTTCGGGCAACCCTGCGCACGACGACTTCGTCCAGTGGGAGATGGAGGTGTGCAAGCTACCTCGCCTCTCTCTCAATGGGGTGCGCTTCAAGAGGATCTCCGGAACATCCATCGCTTTCAAGAACATCGCCTCGAAGATTGCCAATGAGCTAAAACTGTGAGGAAGTCGATCGTTTTTGTTGTGAAAAGATCTTGAGGAACGGCTGGAGCCCATATGTTGGGTATGAGGAGGCACTGTGAGGAAAATCATTGGAGTATTGAGCTCTACGGCAGCAATGAAGAGTCTCGAGGCTGTAAAGGTGTAAGACAAGTTCATGGGGGACATTTGTGCATATAGACATTTTTCAAGGGGTTTATTTTTTGGGGGAGGTGTTCTGTCTTGGTTTGGGTTTTCTGTTCCTTTCTCACCCTCCTCGAATACCTTGTGTTGTCATCTTTATTTTTGGCAATTTCGTTCAAATGTTGTGGTTTTTATTGGACCTCACAATTGTCGTCACCTCAGAAAGAGTAAGAGAGAGCGAGAAGAGGTTGGCGTTAATAAACTGGAATTGTTTGCCAGTGAATCTTTTTTTTTCCTTCTTCTACAAACCAGCTACTGTCATGGAAAGCTGTAGCTAACTCCCCCCAATACCCTGGTCCTTATTCCTTGTTCATCCCCAAACACAAACAATGGTAATCTAAACCACATTACTTGATCTTACTTCCAATTCCAGGTTAGCTGTGATGAGCAGAGATGGAGAGATTGGTTGATTTATGCTCTGAATGTACAACAAAAAAATTGAGACCCAAATGGCCAGGCTCATTCAGTAGAGCCACAATTTGAATTTTCATATTCACTCATGCTCTGATTGGTTCTGATCTAGCCAATGGTGTGGTTGCTAATCTGTAACCTCTGCCCCATTTCTACATCACAGTACAGTGTCTTATTTGAGCTGAAATGAAAGTGTTGACTTGAACCCTCGGTGCACTGGAGGTGAATCACCTCTTAGCACTCTATGCCCAGACAATTAGTTTTTTGTTGTTTGTTTTTTTTTTTTTTTTTCCTCTATTGCAGGGGTTATATATCTGAAACTAATTAAGGGCCAATTAAGTAATTATTGGTGGATTGTAGTGTAATTAAGACTTGCTGGTTGGATCCAATCTGCTGCACTGGAATAAGTCTGTGTTTCGTTGCCTTTCTCTTGAGAAGATAATTATTAATATTATTATACGAATAAACCAGACATTGGATGATTTGTGTTCAACTGTTTATGAACAATATTCTTTTTATTTTAGTGTATTGTTTTTATTTCCTTTTGTTTCACCTTCAAACAACATTTGAAATATGCTTGTGTTCTTTAATTGATTTAAAGAGCGTGCAATACAAATAAAACTATTTACTTTCTAAAACATTCCACCTGAGAGCACTTGGAAACTAACTAGTCTCTAATTTAAGTGCCATTTTTTTGGTAGGGTAACACTTTCATTAATATTTAACATTATACAATGCTTAACAGATAATTAGTTAGTGTACTTTTAGTATCAGATGTTATTTATCTGATTATTATCTTTACATTTTAAATGAAATATGTTAATTACAGATGCTAAAACATAGCCTTAACGGTTATTCTTGGTTTATGATACTGTTCCAAATATCAACTTTTGCATTTCATTTGTTGAAAAACGTTTCTTGATGTTAGGAAAAAAGACTTTCTTAACCCAGCAGCAGATTTAATCCATATTTGTAAATTGTTTAGTCTCTCTTATTAATGGAATGCTGATCCTAGCTGATATGCAGTAATCTTTATAGATGATTGAATGAACGAATACATCAAATGTGAAAATGACAGTGCTCTAAGGGGATAGAAAAGTAGCAAAGTTTTATGATAAATCTGGAAAAAATGAGGTCTTGATTACCAAAGTTATAGGATGTAGTTCAAATAATTGGGATTTTGTTTGTAAACTGATTTGAACAATCCGAGGAAGGAAAGAAAGAGAAAATGACACCGGATGCAACACATGACACGTGCACATCTGTGATAGTGATGTCCGTTTCGTGAAACGAATCGTTATTACGTGTCGGAAAAGAAAACGTACGATTCGTTCACGGATCTCACTGAATCGGTCCGAGCGGTTTTCGAGTAAAGGGGCGAAAGGTAAGTTACTCAACTCCAGTAGACGAATAGCAGAAATTTTACAAATAAAATGTAGCCTACTGAGATTAATATCAAATATGTTTACGGCTTTAGTAAGCATCATTGGGTCAATCAATCAATCACGTACGTGAAGTGCATATTTTTGTGTCCAAGTGCATTATTTCTATTTAAAATAATTTGATAAATTCATGACGTATCACTTTGTTCTATAATGCCTATTTAGTTTGAAATCGTTTTTAGAACATTTAAATAATACATATTTTGTTATCTTAAACCCCCAAAATGTCAGGTGGTGCAACTGAAAACTAATTACTATGGCATCATTTTAAAGTCCCCATGAATTCAAAATTGACCATACTTACTTTGTTTGCCTAAATTGATCGTTTTGTGGTGAACAATTCATCCATGCAAGTCAATCCACACAAAAAAATTTTTTTGCCTTCGTATTCTTTAATCAAAATCTGAAATTTCCCCTCCCCTCTGCGTTGGAGGACCTTGCCTGATGACGTCGGTTTCACGGTTTGGGCGTCTTCTTAACATCCATAATCACGCCCCTCCAACTGACAGTATACAGGCTGAATGAAAACACCTACTTTTCTAGATCCAATCAAGGTGCTAGTTGGGAAAAAAGCCACGCCCACCATTTTGCCTCATTTAGTATTCCGTTTCTCTCGGAAATACGTCACAACACTGGAGAAAAGTCGTTTGCAACTTCCGGTTCACGGGGACTTTAAGTTTGAAATATTTCATAAAAAACATTTGATAAAGATCGGTAGTGTTAATGCTGTTAAGAACTCAAATGTCAGGGTGGACTGACATGAACTGCAAACATGGCTCTTTTATTATGAATTGACAAGGTAATAACAGTAAACATGATACAAGTGAAAAGGTTTGTAGATCTCTCAAATACTGGTAAAACGGCTCGTGTCAAGTATGGGTAGGTTGGTACACTTTCCATGTCATATGGTACAACTACAGTATATAGCCTATACCACCTGACATAAAAACAGTAAAAAAAATTAATTTAAACACTTTGAAACGTTAACTAAAACTGGTTTAAACAGATTGTTCATGACTCAAAAATATGCATTACATCAGTTTTGAAAAGATTTTTTAAAAACTTTTTTTGAATCTTTATTTCTCGTTTCAACGTTTTACAGCTTGTAATGGATCACGCAGATATGTCAGGGAGAATGTAATGACGTATTACGTAAAATAGTCTTTGAATCATTTTGAGCGGCGAGTTTTTAAATGAACTGTTCGAAAGAACTGGTTCGCTGAAATGAGTCGGACTTCCCTTCACTAACTGGGGTCAATCGGTAGGAGGCGCTAACTCTAGGCGCCTTACTCACCGCGCATGTGACCCTCCCCCAACCTCAAACGAGGCACTGATTCCGTCAGCACACATTATCAGTGAGCATAGCTCATGTCTTCGATATAGTTGCATGTTGAAGGTGAGTTTTAAAGATTGCACTTCTTAATAGAGACTTTAAATGGTTTTCCTCGGTATTTCACTCGTTGAGTGTGTAAGAAGTACGACAAGACCGTTTAATTGACCATATTTCAGAAAATGTATTCACTCCGTTGTCCGATATTCTCTCTTATCCCGAGCGTCGTCCTCGTGTGAACCGAGAATATCGTTATTTAATCGCACTGACTTATTTTACAATGTGAGATTCTTTTGTCTGCGGTTGTTACTGGGTCGTAAAGACTATACAGTCTTGCCTCATCGGACTTTTGCAGCTAAGTTACTTCCTTAGTCTGGTGCTAATATATACTAGCGTTAGCACGATAGCTTTAGTCATCGCTTGATTTGAGATACAGTGGATCAGTTTGACTAAATAAGAGGTTAAAGATACAATGTTTTCATCGGCCATTCAGCCAAATTCACGTTGACCACATAATCAAGATAAAAAATAGAGTGTGAACCGTGTTTGAAATCGACTAATTCTATAAGTTATAGCCTGAAAGTGAAACCGTTTAGCCCATATTACGCACGCTCTGAGTTACTTGGTTCTGATTGGTCAGTCGCGTTTAGCTGTTCAGCGGTAAAATATTTTTTTGTAGCGTGGCAGCTAAACTGTATCATTCAGCACAGAGCTATGCAGTAATTATGCAATTTATCTTCATGTTCTTTCACTTCTTAATTTAATCAGTAGCTGTGTGATTATAAGCATGATAATATGCAGGCAACCAGTCATCGCAAATTGCATTGTGCTGGTGTTCTGTCTTTCTGGTTTTTACTCTACATGAAAAAACAATTAATTTACTCTCATTAACATTTCATATCTATGTATTTAAACATCCATGTAATAAATGGGATGACTAAGGTAGAATTAGACGGTCGTTATTGTTAAAAAAACTTAACATTCTGTTATAATAATTCCTATATTTATATAAACCCTAACAGAATTGGTAGGTACATAATATCTCGACTTGTATTCCTATGATTCAAGTGTGTGAGACCATTAATTGTTAATAAATACCAATGGAAAAATGCTTGATGGCAGCAGGGAAGTTGTGGTTTCTCCTGTTTTTTGCATTTCTAATTTTTGCTTGAACTAAAGTTATTGTTACTGTAGTTTGTTTTTTGCCTGTTTATATGACTTTGTTTTTTGTCTTAGGAACTTCATTGTTTGAGACTTTGCACGTGCAAATCAACCAAAGACTGATTCCAAAACACACTGCTGTTTTTCCTGTCCAAAATGGTGAAGATATTTGTTGGCAATGTAGCTTCAGCAACCACCGAAGACGAGCTCCGTGCTTTGTTCGAGAAGTATGGCCCTGTGTCTGACTGTGATATTCTGAAAAACTATGGCTTCGTGCACATGGATGAGGAAGAGGCGGCGCAAAAGGCCGTCTCTGCTTTGCACAAGCACGAGGTCAACGGCTCTCGCATCACCGTCGAGTATGCCACCACCAAGGTACGCAATGCCACCAAGATCTACGTGGGCAATGTTCCTGAAGGCGTCACCGCCGCCAAAATCAAGGAGCTCTTCCAGCCGTTTGGCAAGGTTGTGGAGTGCGATATTGTGAAGAATTACGCATTCGTTCACATGCAGAGGGAAAGCGAGGCTCTGGAGGCCATTTCAGAGCTTAACCACTCCAAATTGGAGGGCCAAAAGATCTTTGTGTCCCTCTCCCGCAGTAACCCATCCAGAAACGGCCGAGAGGAGGACTATTATCCTCCTCCCCCCCCGCATCACTATCCACCTCACCCACACCATCCTCACTTTCTCCCCCCACGCCCGCCGCCCCGTGACTACTATCCGCCTCGTGGCCGACTTCCACCACCTCCTCTCCCACCGCCGCCGCCCCGCGCCTACTACGAGCGAGATGTGTATGAGAGGGGCCCTCGCCACGACCCGTACGCTGCCCCATCCCCGCGTTTTTACGAACGGGATCCATATGAACGGCGCCTTCCGCCCCCTCAGCGACCAGTCACACCTCCTCTCGCCGGGCGCTACTACCGTGAGCGCAGCCCTCTCGGCGGTCGCCGCTCTCTCCTGCCTCCGCCTCCCCCTCCACCCTCTTCTGCCGGCTTCGCCCGTGGTTTCGCCCGCAATGGCGCTAGCTCAGCACCCCCTCCCCCTTCCGCCGCTCCTTCCTCCCACTATCATCGCTACTCTCTCGGCTCAGGCTTTGATAAGGATGATTATTTGGAGGACAAGTACAGCAATGGCTTCAGCCGTAGCTACTAAGCAATGAAGTTTGTCCGTCCCTTTTTTATTATCGAGGAGCCAAGTAATCTAAGAGGGGCGTAACTTCAGGGAGTTAGGGGTGAATTTTTTGTAATATTCTGTGATCGTTGTAGCTATTTTAGATAACGGGTTAATCAGCTAATACTGTACTCATTTAACTAATAGATTTACGTCCGCCCGATGAAGGAACGGCAAATAGGAAGTTAAATACACCTGTTTCAGAGTTTTATAGCATGTTATGTTGTACTATATATGCCAGCCATATCGGTTTGAGTATTTTCTTAAATTTCGGGGTTTTTTTTGGCATATCACATTTTTAGTTCATTTTACTCTGGCATGCACTAAATACAAAAGATCGCTTGAATATATATATTTTTTGCATTGATATTTCAACATGCATAGCCTACCCAACAGGAAATTGATCGTGTTTACCTGTTTTTTTTCTGTTTAGTATTTAGGAATATTCAAGTGTTGTCATTGTCTTTTGCATGAGTCGGGCAAGTTAATTTGGAGATATTTTGAATTTTCATCATTGGTCTTCGTAACTAAATTATAGTAATTCTGTCTCTTTTTTTTTTAATTTCTGCTCTGGACTACCTTTATGTTGGCAAATTAACTTGCTATGTTGTTAGAAGTAATGCTGGATGTAAGTGAGACCAGTGGGAAGGAACAGAGAGGAAATGGGTAAAGAGGTGGTTGTGGGCGGAGCTGTATGCTTTAACTGACTGATCAACCAATCACATCCTACCGGCTAACCGAGCACATCGCATCCACCAGCCGCTCAACTTTCGGATCCGCCGCCGCATCCTAGGACCATCGGTCAAAGGAAACGAATGACCGACCAGCCGCCGACCGCCTAATAAATTAAAAACAACGCTGAATCAATTCTACACTGTATTTCGAGATCACGCTGTATTAGACAAATAGCTGATTTGCCGACTCCGCAGACTCAGAGAACGTTTTTAAAGATTAGAGACTTATTTTGGCATCACATTATAATGCTTGTGATTGAAAATATTACTGAATTCTCAACATTGTTTCCTGTCCTACTTGTACTACTGCTGTTTGCCTATTGTTAGCGTACACTTCTGTTTAAAATGTACGTTTGTAAAAAGCCTGTTTTCTCGACTGTTTATCCGAAACCGCTCTCTTTATCATATTGTCCACTCGAGCAGGTTCGAAACTTATGCTTGTTTTGATTTAACCCTATGAAAACAGATTCATGTTCTACCAGTCGCTGTCATCTTGCCGCCTGAATAAAATTTCGACTGACTTAGACGCAACGCTTTTCATGTCACTCGTTTTTAATTGAGTCTCTTTAATTTCTACCTCATGTCTCACTCGGTCACGTTATCATTCGTATAATACAAATGTCCTTTGACTTGATCTCTAATGGGTGAAGTAAAGTGCCAAATAGATTCATATTAAAACTGCACTTTCCGCTTGAACCCTTCATACAAAAGGCCAAATGCATTAATTTAAACCTCAGTAAATTCTAGTCTTTTGTCTTCTTTTTTTGTTCAAAAATTACCCCTGTCCAAGATGAATGAATGTTCAATACTCTGTTTTGAATAACTTGAAGCTTTGTGTGGTTCATCAGGATGGGTGAGTTAAAAGTAAGTAGTAAAGGTAAGTAGTATTTCAAGCTGGATTGTTTGGACTTTTGTTCTCCTTGTCATGTTGCATGTTATTGAATGTATTCATGTGCTAGCAGAGCCTGTCTTGGAATTGTTTTTTATTTTCTTTTTTTATTGATGATATTATAAACAGTCATTGTCTGTCCGTGAAACACTTTGTTCTGATTGTCGGTGCAGGTGATGTCCGTCAAGTGGCTTTAAAGTGATTTTTTTTATATATATATGAATCTTTCTCTTCACAGCCTTTCAGTAGAAACACAGCTGAAGTTATCCTTATCAGCTCTATCCAGACGAGGAACAGTTTTACATGCTTCTATGGTTATTTTAAAACAAAATGCATTGCATAATACATGCCTCATGTGAACTTGAATTGAAATACTCCAGTCAGCAGCTTAAAACCTCTTAAACAAGTGTTTCTAATGGGAATGATAAACGAAACATCCATTAGTTTACTCATCTATTACAAGTCCTTTTCAAGTCCTCAGTTTTATTAGTTGCCTTTTATTCGGCGTTATGAACTAATGAACAGATTTTTTTTTTAAAGTCAAGATTTTAAGGTAATAAAATAGTTAAATATAATTTAAAGTAAAAGATAACAACATGAACACATCTACGAAGACATTAGGCTAATCATTTGTGTGCTAAGTTTGTGATTTAATATTGGTATAATTGGGTACTGAACTTGGTCATGTGTAATCGATTTTGACTGATCTTGAATATTTGATTGAGTTTAATATGTAGAATAAAGAAAATAATTATTTTTATTTAAATTCAAATATTGTTTTACTGCCTGTAGTTTTTTATAAAAAGTTGATTTTCCAACAAAAACAAAAAAATCTGAAATTATCTTTGGCCCTTTTACTTTCCTTTCTGTTGTTTAAAAATAATGATTTGACTGCCACATCACTTCATAAGTAGGCCTGCATAAATTCCAAACTTCTAAATTACTTTGGCCTGGAATTATGCAGTGCTTTAGAGTTTAACTGCTGGTGCTTTGCAAGACTATAACCACCTGTTTATAACAAGGTTAGTAGTCAAAAGAATATGCAACTGAAAACCTGTATTTATTAACCATTAATCAGAATGTTGTGGTGCAGGGCTGTAATATATCATGGACATTGTACTGTTTCCTGAGAATGACCCATATAAAAACTAACATAAGGTTATTATTTTATACTGATGATGATTTTCATGCAGACAATAGAGAGTGAATCGTTGGGTTTGAGTAGGATATCCTGTGTCAGCAGATCAAATGTGCACTTGTGAGAGGTTAGGACTTGTGGGTCTGGTCTGTATAACACAAGAGCACTAGTAAAGAAGTAACTTGAGTTCAGAACTATATAACCTCTGTAAACGAAATCCTGAGAAGAACGCAAAGCTATTCCAAAGGAAATGCACAATCTGATTTAGCTCTTCATTGTTAGTCAATTTCACTACTGTTCGCTGTGTGACGGCTTTCACAATCTTTGTAGTGTAAATATGAGCGCAATAAATGCAGTGTGTAGTAGCTTTTATGCAGATAACTGATTAAATGTTTAGTATTTTTCTTTAATGCTCACTAATGCCCATTTCTCAAATCTTTTGGGAATATCTGTTGGTGAATAAAGGCAGCATGGTGGTTATTTAATCATTTACTTGTGTCGTGGATTTGTTTGCCTCATTGCGCAGCTTCTTTCTGCAGTTCTGCAATCATCTCTGCCCCCAGTTTCTACAAAAGAATAACTAACCATTCAAATTACCACAGCGTCAAAAATGCCCGAAAACGAACCCTGCTGCACCATGCACCCCATTCAGGAAACGGACTGAGTCAACGTATGATGTCACGTGGTGTAGGAGCACGCGAATCCTTTGGTGACTTAGCGCGCTTTCTGTTTGAATTTGAACAGCGTTCTGACATTCCAGACCATAGACATCTGCTTTTCGTGCGTGAGTATAAACCTCGAACACCTAAAACACAAAAATACTTGTATACACCAATATACAAAACTAATTGGTCGCATTCCGTAGATTCTGATAATATTACTTTTACGTATGATCCGTTAGGGTCATTTTTTTATTACTAGTAGTAGTAGCTAACTACTAAGCAACTAGTGGGGCTGCTGAAAGTTAGGTCTTTATCTTATGGCAAGCTTCGTTCGTTAGTTGCATTATTAGCATAATGTTAGGATTATGTGGTTGGTTATTATTAATCTTCATGACTATAAGCAACATGGTCAGTCTTTAAAGGTTAGCAAATTTCAGCAAGCCAAAGATCTAGGGAATAAATCTACCTCAGAATGTTGGCATGTTAATGCATCTAAATGCATGTTAGAGTTCATCCTTGCATATGTTTTGGCCTTGTAATTTTTATTTCAAATGTTACAACTCGATCTTCTTTGAAACGAGACACTATGGAAGCTTGTTTCCACCACACAATAAAAAATTAAAAGACTTTTTTTCTCTCACAGTTGCAAGATTTAAACTAAGAAATTGCGAGTTAAAATGTTAGAATTGCGTGTTTTTGTGTGTGTCTAGTTTCTATAGAATTATGTTTCTCTCAATTCTGACTCAGAATTGTGAGATATAAAGTTGCAATTGGGATTTATAAAGTCCAAATCTGAGGAAAAAGACAGAATTGGGAATTTATATCATGCATTTCTGAGGAGAAACTGAATTGCGACATAGAAACTCGCAATTACAAAAAAAAAGTCAACTGTGAGAGAGTCGCAATTACCTTTTTTTATTTTATATTCAGTGACGGAAACAAGCTTCTATAATCTCTGGTGACATACAGTGCTGGTCAGGTCAGAATTATTTACCCCCTTGGTAAATATGATCAAAGATGGCTGTAAAAAATAAATGTGCATTGTTAATCCTTTTGATATATACACTCTAAACAAAAATGGTGCTAAATAGCACTAAAAGTGGTTCATTGGCTTGTAATCATAGGGGAACCACTTTAAGTGCCATATAGCACTTATCTTTGTCAAATGGTGCTATGTAGAACCTTGAGAGGTGCCATAGAGCACCTTAACCACCCCAGAGAACCCCTGAAGAACCGCTGAAGAACCATTTTTTTTAGAGTGTATATATTTTTTAAAAAGCCAAAATCTAACCTTTCATTGAAGTAAAAGAATTGAAAGTGGGGGGTAAATTACATTATGAAATACATGTTTTTCTCCAAAACACATTGGGAACAATTATTTGCCCCCTTTTATTAAATACTTTTTGCAACCTCCTTTTTTCCAAGATAACAGCTCTGAGTCTTCTCCTATAATGCCTGATGAGTTTGGAGAACACCTGACAAGAGATCAGAGACCATTCCTGCGTACAGAATCTCTCCAGATCCTTCAGATTCCCAGATCCAGGTTGGCGCTTCTCTTCAGTTCAGCCCACTCATTTTCTATAGGGTTCAGGTCAGGGACTGGGATGGCCATTGTTGCAGATGCTTGGTTATGTGCTCAGTGACCCATTTTTGTTTTGATTTTGAAGTATGTTTTTGGATCAAAGTCCTGTTGGAAAATCCAAACATGGCCCGTTATAAGATTTCTTGCAGAGGTTGTCAGGTTTTGATTTTTTATCTGTTGGTATTTGATCGAATCCATGATGCCATGTATCTGAACAAGATGTCCAGGACCTCTGGCTGAAAATTAGGCCCACAGCATTAAAGACACAGCAGAGTATTTCCTTTTACACATGGGGTACTTTTTTATCCATGTGTGCAACAAACCCATCTCAAGTTTGCTGGCAAAAAAAATAATATTTTTTGTGTTTCATCTGTCCATGTTTTGGAGAAAAACATTTATTTCATAATGTGATCCCCCCCACCCCACACACACACTTTCAATTCTTTTACTTCAATAAAAGGTTAGATTTTTGCATTTAAAAATAAATAAAATCAAAGGATAAACAATGCAGATTTATTTTTTACAGCCATCTTTGATCATATTTACCAGCGGGGCAAATAATTCTGACCAGCACTGTACGCTGGATTTCTCCAAGTAGTCCACCTATACCCAGCCCCTTTCTTACAATCGACTGCATGCTTCCATACTGATCTGCCTCCATTTAATAACCAAATGGACAGAATTAAGTTCCCGTCCTACATTCTTTTCAATAATCCGTTTCACTCGGATGCGCATCACAATACAGAAGAAAAGACGTGTCGCTGTTTCTGCTACATTGTGTCTTCAGTATTGTGTTGACTGTTGGCAAATTTATTTAAATAAACACTATTTTCAATGTTTTCAGGGCTGAATTTTTGCAATAATATAAAAATGCTGGTACCGTCAGTAACACTGAAGTCAGGAGTGCAGATGCCACTTTTGGGTTTGGGCACATACAAGCTACAGGACCTTGAGCGGCTGAAAAGGTCTGTCAGCTCTGCACTTCAAGCAGGATACCGAGCCTTTGACACAGGTGCTGTCTATGGAAATGAGGCACATCTAGGGCAAGTCCTCAAAGAGCTGTTGCCCATGTATGGTCTAAGCCGTGAAGATGTGTTCATCATCAGCAAGCTTGCCCCATTAGACCATGGGCCGAGGGCAAAGGAAGGCTGCCTGAGGAGTCTGAAGCAACTAGACTGTGAATACATCGACCTCTATCTGGTGCACTGGCCTGGGATGGAGGGTCTTGACCCAGAGGATTCCCGCCATTCAGAGTATCGGGCGCAGAGCTGGGCGACCCTAGAGGAGTTCTATGCCAGTGGTCGATTTAAGGCCATAGGGGTTTCAAACTACACCTCAAAGCACATTAGGGAGCTGCTCATCAGTTGCCGCGTGCCCCCAGCGGTCCTTCAGATAGAGTGTCAACCGAAGCTGATCCAGAGGGAATTGAGGGATTTATGTATGGAGACAGGCATTCACTTCCAGGCCTACTCTTCTCTGGGTAAAGGAGCTCTCCTTAGGGAGCCAGAGGTAGTGGATATAGTGAGGAGCTGTGGTCGGACCCCTGCCCAGGTACTCCTGAGGTGGGCTGTGCAGCAAGGCATCTCAGTTCTGCCTCGGTCCTCGCAGCCAAGCAGAGTGCAGGAGAATGCACAGGTGTTTGACTTCCAGCTAAGTGAGATGGATATGATGAGGCTGGATTCCCTGAATTGTGGAACAAGGTTTTGTAAACGTGACTCTAGCAAAATAGCTTAAGCCCTGGTTTGACAATTTCCTGAATAAGAAATGATTAAAAAAAAATGTAAGATCAAGTCAATGACGTGATGCTTTTTGTAGTAGAAAAGAAAAACATTAAAAATGGTATTTATACAGGCTACGACTTGGATATACAAATGATGAGCATGTTTTTATTTTGGAAACAAAATTAAAAAATATTTTTTATTGAAAGTCAAAAATGTATGGGTGATGCAACTGGATGCACTATATGTAGGTAATATAATTTGACCTTTTTGCTGTGATACAAGCTTAGTTCAGGCTGTATAATGTGGTTTGACTTACTAATTTTTTTTTTTTTAATTAATGATATTTGGGGGGAAACATTTTGCTTTAAGGAACATTAAGATGTAGTCAGTCACATATATTCAAGGTGTATGGAAACATTTTGGTTACACCAAATTAGTTGTTTTAACTTGCACTTTTCTTGAAAATGTCAGAAAAGTTTTTCAAAACCATATGAAACCAAGATTACAAAGAGTAAATGTCTACGACTTGGAACTGTTTAAAAGTGGATCTTTCCTTATTGACCCAAAAACATAACACTACCTTCAGCCAGAAAATCTTTTATTTTGACCACAAAATTATAGAAAAAAGATAAAAACTTGATTGTTTTAAAAAGTATTTAAACAGTTCATCCATTACTCAATCTATGTAAACAGTTATAAATATGTACAAGGATCTCAAAAAAGGAATGAAGCACATAAAGCACAGCAAGACTGATAGTACAGAAATAGCACTTGTGTTGTCCATCTGCATATATTTACTTCCCCAGAAACTGAATGCTGTTTAACATACAAGACCAGCAGATGGAATATAAAGGAAAAAATCCAATAGAGACAACAGTCAAGAACTTTACAATCAAGAAATATGTACATGAAAGGCAGTGATGAATTGCAAAGCTATGAAAGTATCCATTAAATAAATTGTTCGGTTTTCCTGGTGACATATCCACGTATATTCATCATAAAAGATGGCAGAACAACTGATTTGATCCACTCTTACTAGTTATTCACCACAATGGTTTGGCATTAACAAACAAACAAACCTGAGATGTAGCATATATCAACAAATGAACTGAAATAACTTTACCCGTATTATTGTTACCGTCACTATCCTTACAACTTTATCCGGTGTCACAGTCCTTGAAATATATTTACATTTTGCAAGCAACCGCTCCAGCCTTTAGTACAACAAAAACGCACGTCTATATATCAATCTATAAAATACATCATAGAACACATTTCTTTGCCAAATATGAACTTAATACATATCAATAAATAGTTTTAAATAGGTTTTATTTTTGAAATCAACACATAGAAAGATTGTCCAATGAATTGTAATATTTTAGGAGAGATTGTCCCTTTTGAGATTGTCAAATTGAATTAACACTGACAATTTCTTTAATTAAACGTACGTTATTGCAGTGGTAAAACGTGATACAGCACTTTTACCGTTTTCTCAGATTGGTTTTGCAGTAGCTTGAGCACATGGATTACAGAAAGGCCATGATGGTGATCAGACTAGCCTTCATCTGAGAGCAGCTCTCGGGGTAACTGTTATTAAGTGTGTAAAGCCATGTTAAAGCATGACTACTTCATTCTCTGCCCTCCTCTTCTTTGGAACTCCAGAGGAATGAGAACCATCCTCTGTAGGTCTGTTTCTGGCTGTTCACTCTTTTGACATCCTGGAAACGACAAAACAATTTAAAAAGTAAGATTTCCCATATTTAAGGCCTCTAGCTCACAACCTATCAAATATAAATGCATTCAGTGTACCATATAGCTGGCTCACCCCTTTGTCAAGCCACGTGTCAAATTCATCGCTCATTCTCCTCAGCTGTCGTCCGTACTTCTTTGCTTTCCACAGCGCAGCAGGAGCAGATTGAGAACGACCTCTGAATGGAAGTCCATCTCCCGCTCCTCCATTCTCCTCCGCCGATGCTCCATCCTGGGGCTCTGCGTCCTGCCAGCGGCTGACTGTATACACCTGAGACTCCGAATAGAGCCGCACACGCCCTGCAAAAGCATGTGATCACATGATAAGATCATTTTTTGTTCAATCTAGGTCAATATTATGACGCATTTCCTGATACGTAATGGCGAGTGTGTTTGTCTGAAGTTCTCACCTTGAGGAGAAATGTTTGGCAAGGTTTGATCCTTATGTTGTCCATGGTTCTTGATTGTCTCTTCCAGATGTGATTGCTTTTTGCCATCCAAGGCGCTGGAATCATCTTGATGGTCATGCGATGTGTTATCCATTGTGAGAGCTGGTGAACATAGAATAGTAGGATATTAATATCGGAATTTCAAGGTGTTGAAACAATTAATTACCTACTTATAGTATTACATGAAGAACATTTAGTAACACAAGGTTTTCAATGATTAAATGAATTTCTTGACATTAAGATTAACATTCACTGGTTTTCCTAAATACATAACAGTTACCTGTGGATCTGGACGAATTCCAGAACAATAGATCTGAATGTGTTCGTCTCTCCGGAACTCAGTTGGTATAGTGGCACTAGATTCCGTCTTATCTCCGGTACGATTAAGAGTAGCTTCTCCAGTTCTCAACATGTATTGCCTGCCTCATGGCATGTGACACACCCAAACAACAACAATAGCTGTAATTGCTACTAATATAAGTTTCATATTTCTAAGGTTAAGTAAAGCTCCTCTGAAAACGTCGTCGGCCAAAAATAATGGAAAAAATATCCCGTTTTTCGTGACATTTAGTCGGAGTGATTGTCTTCTCGCCGCAAGTAGTAGCGTGACAAATTTCCAATCCGGCTGTTGTTATCGCTACAGTGTGTATGATGATCTCATTTCGGCTCCGATATTGTTGTTGTCCGTCGTCGTTTACAGTAGTGCTCCGCTCTCAGCCAATCAGACGGCGTTCGCCCTCTTTGATCAGCCAATCACAGCCCGCTGCTAGGGTGTTTTGGGCGCTCACTGATGCAACGTCACTGTTGCGATAGGGGTTCGCGAGCCTTTGCTGTCCCGTGACTTGTTTACCTCATACAGGCCCCAGTCTCGCGGAAGCGTGGGAAGATATATATCGTGAGCTTGAAGACGCCGTCGCGAGAGAATTTGCAAAAGAAACGCACCGTTTAACTTTATTTGCATAGAGTGGCATTAAAAAAAAACTGAGTGATTTTACTTGTGCGGCTCTCAGAGCAATATCAGTCACGGGGAGTTTATGCCTTGCTCAATTATGAATCATTTATTATGGAGAGTTTTTGACGTATCTATGTTTGGCCTTTACGTTGAATGGTTTGCAGTACACTGATGCTAATAAAATTCGTAGCTAAGAGAACATATTTTGCTATTTCTGTTCAAGAACTGTGGTCATATAATGTGCATTTTCTCAGTTCGAACTGTAGATGGCAGGAGAGACCTGTGTTTAGTCATTGGAAGAAGTTGGTTATTTCTTTGCTTATGACTCATGCCTGCAGAACACGCATATAGGTTAATAGGACCTGTTACTGTGTAGATTGCTGCAAATGTTAGATATTTTCATATATTTTTTGCTAGGTCTACAACACAGCATGTCTTTTCTTTGTACATTCAGTTCTCCTTTTCATTTAGTAGCTATTAACTAGCTATAAATTAGCTATTAACACATACAAATGTGTAAAAACTCTATATGTAATTTAGCCATACCAACTGAATTTAGCGATGCAACATTGCACTAAATGTTGCACTAATATTGTGCTGGTAAAGATTTAGATAGAAACATAGTTCCTCATTGACAGCATCATGGAGACACATGGGTAGCAGAGTATAAATAAAAGGTCCTTCGGCTTCCGCTGATTATTTTATTGTTTATACTGTTAGGTTTTTTCATTGTTGTGACCCTGCTGCAGAAATAATAAAATACAACCATCCGGCTGGCCTTAGCAGGAGACCAAGTGTAGCGTTAGTTCTGGCAGGTCACGTTAGTCAAGCTCGCATCAGCTGATCCATGTCTACCTATAGGAATACGACGCCTATCAATATATAAGATATAATATATAAGCTACATAAGCTCCTTCAGTAAGCAGCTATCGTGTTTCTCAGGAGCTAATTACCCTCCTCCATCCCCAGCTCCTCTTCTCATCCAGTCAGGATTTGGTATTCTGATTCCCCTTTGAATCAGACTAAATTCTCGAATTATGTTGTAAATTAAAATATTGACATTAATGATATCTGCGATACATTCATGTTGGTTTTGTTCTGTTTACCCTAAGGGGGGTTATTGCTGCTCTCCCTGCTCTTATCCATGCTAGGCTGCATGGATGCGCAGGGAGTTCTTGCCCAGAACAGAACCTTACCGCCAATCCTAATTGTATGCTTATTGTCAATCGTATTTGACGAGAGTGGTCCTGACAGAACTGGCCATTCTGTTCCATTGGTGGCTTAAAAGTTCTAAAATCAGCCAAGAGGGGGGTTGAGAGACTGTCTAAGACCAGCAAACCAGTTTAGGCTGGTTTAAAGGGATAGTTCACTCAAAAATGAAAATTAGACCATGATTGACTCACCCCGAAGTCATCCTAGGTGTATATGACATTCTCGTTGTGCGTCAAGTTCAAGTGTTACTCTTTTGGCGTTAATCGATGTGTACGGCCGTCTGCCGGAAGCTAGTTATTTTAGTCGATAAAGTTTTAAATATGGATATTTTTCTTACACAAACGCATCGCTTCGCTTCAGAAAACCTGATTTTTACATTTTTGGGTGAACTATCCTTTTAAGATGTTTTTGGTGGGCCCTTCCTTCAGCAGGCCAATATTGGTGCACAACCAAGAGGAACTTTGCCTTCAAATGACTGGGTTTTTTAGGAGTAGTTCTTCAAATCATCCTAATCAATATATTATAGAGAGGATATTTTTGCATAAAACACTATGAATTGAAAATAACATTGAGAAAATATACTAGATGCTAACTTTTTATTACACCTGACGAGATTCAATAAAACTGCTGTTCACCTTTGAACCGCTATAGTTATTGTTAGGCTACTAAGTGTCATTATTGAATCACGTGTCACCAGTAGAGGGGTCAGAGGGTAGCCTGCCTACAACGTTGATTCAAATTAAATTAAGCCCCTCTGATATGCACGTGTTTTTACACTCCAGCCAAGATAATTAGCAGTTCTAATATGTCTGTCTGTGCTACATCAGTGCCAATTTGATGAATTATCGTCCGGTGTTGGCTCGCCATGCCTGCCAGCGACACTCTGGCAAACCTGCACGCGCTGTATAGGAAAATGTCACCTCCCCTCTTTCTGCAGTCCACGCGCTGCTGAAAAAATGCCTCTTTTCGCTTTTCTGCAGAATCCATTCGCAGAATTTCCATATTACCTTTCCAACAAACTCCGCCCGTCTCCTCCGTCCTCATGGCGAGGCTGATGCTGATGCGAGCGAATAGTTAACATCTTCTCATTTACTCCCTCTGGCGCCACACGTCCATGTGCGGCTCTGCTCTGATCATTCTTCTCTTTTTCTCTCTCTTCCCCCCAATGTACAATATAGTCTTCGCTTTTTTTAAAAAGCTTATTTTTTAGCATTCTTTTTATTTTTTGCCCCTAAAATGCAATTGCTGGAAGCATGCGTTTGATCTTTTTCTATTGTGTTTGGAATTATGTGAATGGGCTGCAGTTGCTGCTCGAAGATCTTTCGTCGAGCACTTTTTAATTCGAATTGAGGTTTTAATTCACGTCTCATCTTGAACGTAAGACGCTCTTTTCTTAAGATCAGTCTCGCCTCGAGTCTACAACTTGATTGGATTGTGCGTGTTTATGTTAGTTGTTTGTATTGTTTGAACTGTCAAATCAAGAAGAGCACCGCTGTACAGCGCGCGCGCATCACCGCTGCTCCATGGAGACTTGAGTCGCGCGCACCGAGCTCATTCACTGTGAATTAAACCGAACTACAGCAAGTCAACAGCGAGTGTCCTCCGGAATCCACACACCGTCTTTGTAAGTACGAATTTACTCACCACACCACATTACAATGCAACTAATACAGTGTTATTTGCTCCTACCAACCTGACTGTAGGTTTAATACACAAAGAAAGCGAACTGATTGCAACAAATGAGTAATAGACGTGCATCCTCCTCCATGTTTTCAGGTTACTTGATGTCAGAATGAAATAGACGATTCTATGAAACGATACTCCCACGTTTAAATATCTCATATTTATTCAAGACTACATAGACATTTCCAATTTCAACCTGCGTATTTTTTTTTTCAGGTACAAAGTTGCGTGTCATATTTCACAGACCATACAGGAGCTACCCAACAAAATGAACCTCTGTTAACGTACATTTGTCTGTCAGAGCAGGTAAGATTGACTTTACTCTTGTACTAAACCGGTTCAATTGAGTTACTATTATCTGCGTACCGTACGTAGCTGCCATTCTCTCTTAAATGTTTTCTAGTAACCCCGCATAACTAGTAGAACATAGTTTTCATACTGGCTGTGAATACTTAGCAGGCACAGTTCTCATGGAAACGCTCTCCGACTCTCACTACAGAGGCAGCCCACCTGTTTCAGATAAACATAGAATATGATATGCCAGTATGCTGTGGTATGTAGGGAAGCCCTCAGCTTCCACATGCATTGACTGAGATCAAAAAATGATATACCCATGTGGGGTAGAAATGAGACATGTAAATGTATTTTTTCCCCTCTACACTGGGCAGATTTATTTCTCTCCCACAGTGTTTACATGATGCGTAAGAAACCTCTGGCTGATTTTGGCATGTTTTTCCGTACAGGAGGGTGCTGTTTTTTTGTTTTCAAGTATTCAACTTAAAGGGATAATTAATTAAAAAAATTAAAACTCATCTATTTGTCATCTTTTACTCATCCTCATTTTGTTTCAAACCTCTATGACTTTCTTGCTTCTGCAGAACAGAGATAACAAATCATTGCATTGACAAAAACATTCTTCAAAATTTCTTGTTGTGTGTTCAGAATGAGGAAGAAAGTCATGCAAGTTTTGGTGAGTAAATGATGACAGTATTTTTATTTTTGGGTGAAGTATCCTTTTAACATAGAAGCAAATATAACAGATGGTCATTTTGACAAACAGAGGACTTGATACGCATTTGACAGACCTGCTCTCATATGACACACAAAATGCCATACGTTCTCACAAGGGAAATCAATTACTCCTTTAATTTCCTTTGTTATATAATTATACTGCAACAAAACAGACTGAAGCCAAATGATACTCCTGCAGCTTGTGTTTCAAATCAGTCCTGTCCATTTTCACTTAGGTTGATGTGAAATAGTCTGAAATATGTGTTTTTATGCCAGAATCTTAGTGTCAATAGCAATGCCTGTGGTACAAACATCATGCGATCATTACAGCTATATATATCATGTTTTTTTTTGCTGAAGGCTTGATTTAGCTTCAGTCTGGTCTGGCTGAATCTCTCTAGTTGTAAACCGCTATGTGTTCTCCGGTTGTAGCTCTTGGTTTCAATGGCATTATTTCCTTTCCCCTAATGCTTGGAACCATTACTCACAGTTTGAGCTAATCTTAATGTTTCTGGCAAACTGAAAATAATCCTACTCTTGCTAAAGGCGGAATTCAGAAAGTGGTTTGTTTCCACTGCTGCTGCTCCTTTCATTATGTGGCGTGTCTGAATATTTGTACATCCTCTTGCTCTGAAAGCTCTGGAAGACGTGAATTATGTCGGCCAAGATTTTAAAGCCCATTTTTGTTGCAAGCATGAGTTTCCATTGGATTGTAAAGCCTGCAAGTCTGTCCAGAGAGTTCCATATGTGGCACAATAATTATGTGTATAACTGTCTGCAACACATCCAGAAAATTGGATGTTTAAACCTTCTGTTCTAAATCTGAGGTTCTTATTAGTGCACTTGTGTTTATGTCTACCGGTCATCTATGTTTTATCCCTGTAGTATCACCCTCCTCAGTGAGAATCCAAAGCCTCCAAATGGCGTTCTTCTCGCTTCCACTTGCAGCTCAACCACCATTATTAAAGTTGAGCCAGGGGCCCATCACTAAAGCCTTCATATTTCTCCCCCAGTCCACAGCTCGCCTGCCTTTTACAAATGATTAGCACTGTAAAATCCAGCCAAGTGAACCATTAAAATGGTTCACTTGGCTATGCTAAATACTGGTGTAAACGTGTTTTAAAATGTTTTGAGCTTGTTCATTGTGACCATTTCCAGAGGTAGTCAAAAACGCATTCAACTTTCATAGCTTTCATGTTGAACTTAAGAATGCTTTTTTGACACACTTAAAGAGATAGTTCACTTCAAAATGAAAATTCTGTCATCGTATACTCACCCTCAAGTTGTTTCAAACCTGTATGAATTTCTTTCTTCTGCTGAACACAAAGGAAAATATTTTGAAGAATGTCAGAAACCAAACAGTTAACTGGAGCCATTGACTTCCATAGTAGGAAAATAAAAATACTATGGAAGTCAATCGGTCCAGTTAACTGTTTGGTTACTGATATTTTTTCAAAATATTTTCCTTTGTGTTCAGCAGATGAAAGAAATTCATACAGGTTTGAAACAACTTGAGGGTGAGTATACGATGACAGAATTTTCATTTTGAAGTGAACTATCCCTTTAGCCTGTTAACTGGCACCCCCCTTTTTTTTGCATAGACATAAAAATCACTATCCAAACTTAAATGGTTGTAATTCAGGAATGCTTTGGAATATAGACCTATGGCTGGTCTTGTTTTAAAGAAGACATTTTCCAGATTATTGTAGAAGTCTAGAAATGATAAAAAATGAAACAGAAAAAAAGTTATATAAGTTTGAGTTTATGAAATGGTGTAATGTAAAAATATAATTATTAATATTTTATATAAAATATATATATTACAAAATATATTTTACTCTAAAACTGCAAGAAAATTAAAGACAAGAATCTGAACAAGTTGTATTCCAAATTTTAGGTTGATATCTAAAAAAATGAGCTTTCAGTAAGATTTTATTTGGGCGCAGTACCCAACTTTTTCACTAGACTCCATTACTGCCCATATAAGGGCGCCTCCATTTTCATATATGTTTTGAGTGATCTGAACCATGTATTTCCATAATTTTCATACAATTTATGAAGTAGACATCCTATTCAGAAGTAGTATGGGTGGTTTGGCAGTATTTGATTTGAATTCAACCTCTAATAAATGCATAAAAAGACTACGTTATAGCATTATAGCTCGCAGCCAATCAGAAATCGAGAATCCATACATTTTTCTTTATATTTAAAACATTTTCAGACCTTTTTTTCTCATAAAATGGAATTGGTGTTATCTTTTGAACTCATGGCATGAAAACAAACTGAGGTTTCTTCCAATCTTTCATGATTTTTCGTGTTTATTGTTATTTCAAAATAAAGGCCTAAATACTCCTAATGAATATGAAATATTCTTGTTGCAAATTGATAAATTACTGCTCCTCTGTAATTTATTTTAGATAACAGCCACCAAATATGAAAACTAGAGATTTTAAGCTTTCAAATGATATATAGTTTGGCAATATTACTTTAGGTTTTTACTAAGATATTATTGTTTTAAACATGCAATGGCAAATGGACCTTGCAGGTTAGGAGGTACCGGTAATGTAATTTCATAATTACTTATGTTGTTTTTGAAATATGGTTAAAGTGTTCTGCCAAATTTACTGACATGCATATGGTAAACTAAAGTAAACTTAAATGTCATTTCTATTGAAACTTGTATGTTATGTATTTAAATATATTTGTATTTACACATTTGTAATGTTGAAGTTGCAATTTAGTACATTTAAAATATATTAACTTTAAAATAAATGTAATAGCGAATAACACACTACAGTTAAATTATAATCAAGTAGGCCTACTTTACATGTGCTTTAGTATTGTTACGTTCCGTGGTGGTTAGAAGCACGAGGAGACGAGGAATGCCAAGAAACAAGGGTTTTAATTAAAGAACACAGAAAAAACATCCATTCTAACACCATCTACAAACAATAACCGACCAGGAGTGAGGGAGAACACAGGGTTTAAATACACATAGAAGAGATTGGGGAAACAAGGCACAACTGGGGCAAATGAACTGATAATGGTGAATTAACTAAACCGTAACGAGGAGCGGGAAAATGGAAACAGGACTGAACCAAATACACAAAGAACGGGGGAAACACAGGACACACATGTAACAAGTATGTTAGTCAACACTTCAAAATAAGCGCACTTCTTTAAAGCATGACAAGATTATTAAAGCATGATTCAATATGTACTTTAAAGTAATCCGTTTAATTTGACATTATTACAAAGCTCTCTTAATATTAAGTTGCATAATTAAGATGGTTATCTTTTGGAACAACATTCACGTCACGTGCCTACGATGCCCTAAAATACTTCCTCTGTAGCCATATTACCTCACCGGGTTATTTGGCCATATGGCAGGTTGATTACAGACCGTTTAGAGTTGTGCGTCCCTTCCCTATACAATGAATGCAACATATGTTCCTTTCACTATTCAGGAGTGCCTCTTCATAGCAAGACTCATGCCATGATCAAAATAAATGTCTGAAGACCCCAGAGAAGGAGTTGATGCTAAAGAAGCTACAAAAAGTAAAAACATTGCTAAGGACCTGTGACCAGTTAGAAAATGTGTATACCTGAAGATTACAGAACACCATTCACAAAGTAAAATCACTACAGCAACAATCCTCAAAGAGGTTGCAAAAAACAGTATGGGAAGAATGAATGTGTACACTCATGTTTCTGCTCAGATTGTATACATCTTTCACCTTTGCTAAAGGAAGAAGGAGCTGCATGGGACACAGGGAGGTCACTTGGGACAAAAAACAAGGAGAAATCCACAGCTCTCCTAAAGAACACTTTTGCCTGTCTCAAATTTGCCAAAATGTTTGGCAAAGGCAAAATACTTCCAACAAAAGCACCTCGTCGCATAACATTGGCTGTACCAAAGGGGACTTCTAGCTTTTAAAATTCTGGCAGCATGTAATTAGAAAATTTATTTAAAACTGTGAATAACAGGGAGTCTGTTCATGGCGAGAAACTTATATAAGGCGTAAATAAGGTTTAAATTAAAGCTGAAGTGTATAATTTACTCCGCTAATTGGACAAATATATATATATATATATGTATTCCTTGTCTTTTATTGTTCACCAAACAGGTAGTCCCATGATCCCATCCTAAACTTGCACTCATGGACCAATCAGGGCTTTCAAGCAAACAGATTGCAACTCTGTTTGGTGCATAAATTACACACTTCACATTGTTCAACTCACATTTTAGAACAAATGAATGTAGGTCTACTACCAATTATTAAATGCATATTTAT